GCGGGCTCCCGCCAACGAATCTGGCCATCCGGTAAAGGTACGAAATTATCCGGACAGTTATGGATCAGCCAGAGAATATATCGCCGGCTAACATCATCGGAGCTGCAAAGATGATTGTCGGGGAGGTCTAAGGCGCAAAACCCAATAGAAACATTAGAATGCGGATCGAGGAGGACGCGATCACGAAAGAAATCGGCAGAGAGGTCGGCGGGAATAGGTTTGCGGTAAAAGAGGCGATTGCAAATAATATCGGATATGTCCTCCAAAAGAGCATCGTAGGGCCTGCGTATAACGTCGAGAGAAACTGATTTGCCACCCCAGTCGATCAAGGTATGGTCAGCATTGAGCCAGCGTCCAATGAATGGCGTAGTTTCAGTGTTGGCGATGACTCGGAGAAGGACGAAAGTCTGGAAAAGGCCAGACAAAGGGGAAGGGAAAGCACTAAGGTGGTACTTCTTGAAGTGCTCGTGGACTTCGGGAAAAGACAAAGTAGGATCTGCATCGAGGTGATTTTCAATCTCGAGAAGCAGCGTACCGCGCCCCCCATAGATAAAATGAGCAATACGCTGCGTGATGGTAGTGGCGGGACGAAGGCCGCCGTCATTCGAAGACTGGCGAGGACGACGAAGACGAGGAGAGGAGAGAAAAATTTGCTGCGGCGGGGCCTGTCGCCAGGCAGCAGACGAGAGACACCATGACTCGATGAATGGCAGACTCTAACTCGGTCATAGATGAGGGTGGAGGAACATCGAGATAGCTAGAGCTGACCGCCCCGTCATTCTCATCCTCAGCGTCAGATTCTGAATCACTGCCACCCCCATCGACATCGACCGAGGGCGTGGCAGCGGCAAGGAAAGGAGACGACAAAGGAGAAGAGCGCGATGCCAGTTGTCGTTTGTGGACGTCCAATAGATGACGGATGGCCGAAATCTGATCTGGCGAAAGATGGTAGGAAAACGATGGGGAATAGCCCGCAGGTGGCTCTACTTGACGGCAGAGGTTGAAGATCAGAGCCCACCACGACGTCCATACCTGTCGCAGCTGTCTAAGGTGATATGATGAAAAGAGTTGAGGGACTCGCGGCTACAGCGTTAGGGTGAGACGAGACAAACGAGCAGCACTCTGCTTACTGCATGCCGAAGTCTGCTAAGTCGCGCAGGGTGCCAAAAGCGTGATGGTGTGACATGACCAACTGGAAACGCCGCATAGACGAAACAACTACAGGACCAAGAGAATGCTGCGCATCTGCCGCGGTGGAAAGTCGGGTAAGCTCTTGGGCTTGCTGAGGGGTAACATGATCTATGATAGTGTTCCACTGCTCCCTGACTATGAAGTTGCTCTTCTTGCGCTCATCGAGGGGTGCGGAAGGACCTGCATCGTTATAGTTGGGGATTCCCAAGTCCAAACGACCAACGGCACTAGACAGTTCAGCGTCAGAGTGGCTAGTGAGGAGTGGCAGCTCGACGAGGAACCACGGTCGGTGTTGACCAGGCAAGAACTGTTGGGCGTAGCCAACACGGCCAGGTGCAAAAGAGGCGCCTCGGGAGCAGGAGTGGACACGCAGGCTGGCTTTAGAGGAGAATGCATGGAGACATCGAGCGCACTCATAGAAATGCGCCGACGAGAGGGCCAGACCAAATGCAGCAGAGGGAAGAGGCGAGCCAGGGGGTGCAACAAAAGTGTGCAGCTCCGAGTGAGACACAAGGTGGAACTGAGAAACAAGATCGGGAACCATGGTTAGAGGAGGTGGTTCCGCAATACGAGGTAGGTGGCAACGAGTGATATGGTGATGGACTTGCTCGGGATCAAGCATGCTCTGACAATGTAGGCAGATGAAAATTTTGTGTGCTGTGTTGATGACCAGATCGTAGCGCAGCAAATCGTAACTCCCATGAGACGTGACGGTGCGTGAATCGGGGAAAAGTTTGTGGGAGGGGGCCGACAGAGGAGGGGGGCGATGGAAGCGGCTGTGGCGGCGTCTGGGCGGGGGGTACTAGGCGAAGCATCAGGAGATGACATGAGAACATCCGAACTGGTAAAGCGTCCAGGACACTGCCAGTCGCAGTGGTACTAAAGAGAGGGAAGCAGATTAGAAAAGAAAAAATACCAAAGTAAAGAGGAAGAACATGCCTGCAGGGTAACACCACGGTCTGTCCTGTAAGGGCACGCTGGACACTGAAAGGACCGATGATCTGTGTGTCGACGGACAGTGACAGGAACGTCTCTAAAAGTGACGACGGCGACTTCGACATGGCAGCGCTGATCATGCAAAGACAAAGGTTCATCGACTAGAGAACAGCAGACTGGACAACTACGCTGGAGAGAGGACATGCCCAATGGAGCGAAAGCACATGGAGAGAGACAGAGAGAGAAGTAAAATGTGACACAGTCAACTACACGAAGTCAGTCACCAGTGGAGGCAGCGGCAAAGGCGGCAGCGGCAAAGGCGGCAGCCTCCGATGCCGCCAACCAAATGGCATTCTCTATGATCACCGAACGTCGTAAATCCTCTATCAAGGGCTTGAGGCAAGGACGAAGGGCAAGAAACGAGGTCTTGTCGATCCACCACATAGTAATGAGATGAAGGTTGACGAGTCCCAGTTCATGATGAACGGGCGGACTGCCCACAAACGAAAAGCCGACAACTGGACCGAGTCCGATTGCAAGACCCAAAGTGGAAGGAGACAGGAAGCAGCGAGCGAGTAACGCGGCCAATGAGCTGAGACTAAAGTGGAAGAGAGACAACCCAGCAAATCCGAGTTGGAGCAGGAGCCGTCGACATGGCATCGAGCCCAATGACGCTAAAAATAATAAGAATAGCCCGCAGTGGGATTACGGAACAAAAACACTTACCGGAAGACAACCACAACGAGGACACCAACCTGGATGCACTGGAAGCATTGAGGGGCCGAACGAGAGGCAAGCTTGGTCGGCGAGCGGCGACCGGGGGCAGAGCGCCGAGGCATGTTTGCCATCAAAGCCCAAAAGGACACAAAGGCGGCACAAATAACGAGTCTGGCGAAACAACGTCATAAAAAACGCGAGGGTATACAGCCAGCGACGCAGGGTAGGACCTCGGTGGTGTGAGACTGACAGGAGACCAATAGGCCTGGCAAAGCAAAGGTGTGTAGAACTGCGAATGAACTGGGTAGACGAACCGTTGCGGACTTGAAGGAGAAGATAAGCGGTCGGAGGACAAGGCAGATGGGTCAATGCATTGCGCGGGCGAAGAGGAAGATGGGCAAAACCTAAAATCCGCCTTGTAGCTGGCGAGAAGTCCTACAAGAGACACGACTCACGCATCCGAAGTCGGCATCGTAAATGCAAGCAAGAGGCAGGAATGAGGGTCACGCGAGATTGATTATAAAAAACACGAATGTTTATAAACTATGACGGCATTACAGAACTATAGGCGGCACGGTCGGCCTGCTTAGTGCGATTGAATAAGTCGACAACGAGCTCACGAAGAGAATCGGGAAGATTAACGACAGGGACACGAGTACTGAACCAATACATGGCAAGGACATGAAAGTTCATCAGGTTTCCGAGGTGATGGGGGACTGGTGTTTCGGCCCAACGACAGAACGCCCCAAAACCAGGGACAGGGTCATGGAGAACAGCGGAAGGGACTAGGCCAGTGGTGATCAGGTGAGGCTGCGGTTGAGGGTCCAACATGACTATGTAAAGCCAAGGTTTGAGGATACGGGAATTGGGACACTTTTTGCCGTAGGATCCAGAATGCCAGCCGTCTTTACGTCCCTGAAAAGATATTGAGAAAGGGGAAGGCGGCGAATAAGGACGTACATCGGCAGTAGCGATCCAGCACATGAAACACCAAGTGCCGCGGTCAGGAAGCTGAAGGTTAATGCCATTCTTGGAGAACTTGTTGTAAGTATTGTCGACTCGGGATTCCGCAAGTCCAGAGGGGCAGTCAGAAGTGGAATGGCCAGCGGTGACACCTCGGGTGAAACAGACAATGCACTTGTCGCGGGCGGCGGAGAAGAGATCGTCGAAAAAAACCTCGGCATACTCGCGACGATAAGCACTGGCGGCACCGCCACGCAGAGGAAGGTTCGAGGCGACACGAGCATAATCAGCGCTAAGAGAAAAGGGGTAAGGCAACAAAGAGGAACATGAGCGGACGATACCCTAGAACCCTCGCCGACGGTCCTGCGGGTACAGGCGTCAACAGGGAAAAAAGAGAAAAAAGAAATGAAAACCAACTGGTGCAAGGATGGCGGTCCGACCGGAGGAGACGAACTACAAGAGGGTTAGGGGTGAGAACGAGTGGCAAGAGGCAGACGACGAGGGGGAGAAACGACAGAGCTGGGAGGAGAAGGACGAAGTTCGTCGCTAACAAACGCGTGAGACGAACAAACAGGCAAAATGGAACAGCGGACGTTGAACAAGAGAGCAGGGGTTGATGGCAAGTAACGCAGCATTCTGAACGAGGGCGCTTCGGGAGAGGCATGGGACCAGTGGTACTGGCAAACCAAACGCGTCAGCAGCGGCACGGGGCGAGACGGTGGACACCAACTCTGTAGAAGGAGAACTGGAACGTTTCGACATGGTGGCAGAAAGAGAGGAAACGAGAGTAAAAGTGCGGACGATGACACGCTTATATACGAGAAGTCGAGATGCAATGACATCACTAGGGAATTCCCCAGCAACTGATGATGGTGACGGCAGCGGCAGCGGCAGCGGCAGCGGCGATGGTCACATGGGTGAATAATCAAAAGAGAAAAACATATATTTTGTCCTCCAAAGACAAGAAAAAAAAAAAATAATAACAAGGCATGCGACTGAAAGTTCAAAAATGCGCGTCAAGCTCACTAAACACAGATGCATGTCAGAAAGGGATAAAATACTAAAGAAGAGACACTGACAACTTTGCCTTAGTAACAGGAACACTGGACGAAGTGCGCGCCGCATTGGAATAGTCAGACACGCGTCGCTCGAAAAAATTCGTTTTGCCTTCCATAGAAATCATATCCATAAAGTCAAAGGGGTTGGGGACGCAGTAGACCCTTTTCGTTGCCGAGGGCGACAAGGAGGCGGTCAGCGACAAATTCGACGTAGCGGCTCATCAACTTTTCGTTCATTCCCAAGAGTCGGTTGGCTAAGGCGTCGGCAAGAAAAGCTTTTTCGACATCTACAGCATCTGTGATGATAGTCTGGATGACGGAAGGAGGAGGCCGAGACTGCAAGTGCCCAAAAAGCAGACAAGCAAAGTCGGTGTGAAGGCCTTCATCTCGACTGATGAATTCATTGGAGGTGGCCAAACCCGGCATAAGACCACGTTTCTTGAGCCAGAAAATGGCAGCAAACGAGCTCGAAAAGAAAATGCCCTCGACGGCGGCAAAAGCGACAAGGCGCACGGCAAACGAAGAATGGGGGTCTTGGATCCAACGGAGGGCCCATTCAGCCTTACGCTGCACGCAGGGAATAGTTTCGATGGCACGGAAGAGGCGTACACGTTCCTGAGCATCTTGGATGTAGGTGTCGATAAGCAGCGCGTAAACTTCAGAATGTACATTTTCCATCATGGCCTGGAAAGCGTAAAAGCAACGGGCTTCTGGCAGCTGCACCTCGAGAAAACCGCTCGAGTAAGTTGTCGTTGACGATGGTGTCGGAAGCCGCCGAAGAAGGCCAAAATGTGGGAGATGAAGTCGCTCGTCGCCAGTAAGTTTGTAGCGCCAATGCTCTAAGTCCCTGGAAAAGTCGAGCTCCTCGGCAATCCAGAAGGAACTCTGTGCTTTCTTGTAGAACGCCCATATCTGTGGGGTGTGATGAACAGCGGACATCGAGAAGGGCCACGACGCACATCAGGATACTTGATAGGGAAGAAAAAAAGGCGGTCGGAGGACCGCTCAACACGGGATCCAGCACAGGTGAACTGAAGCTCGACGGTGGAGCGGCAGCGGCCATGGAGGAAGCGGGCACAGATTGGCAGACGGCAAGCTAAGAGAGGGAATGTATGTAAGCAAGTATATATAATGTATATGGTCACACGAAATACATGGCAAGGTAAGCAACGGCAATAGACGACGGCTAAGATGATCACCAGAGAAGGACCCCGTGTTCTAACACTGCAACCGCTGGAGATCCTAGACGGACTAGGGCCCACACAAACAACCACACGAGACGGGTACGACGATGATGTGGGGTGTCCGAGATTCCTGGGGGAGCATGACGAATGCACTCGGCGGCAGCGACTCGGTCCGCCATTGCCCGGAGTAATCCAACGGAAAAAACGGCCGAAAAAGTTGGGAAACATCCGGTGGTGTCAACGTGGTACTTGAGCAGGGCAGAAAAGTTTTCTTCAGTGGGAAAATAGAAGGGGAAGGCAACATCATAATAGTGACGATGAAGGAAAGACACTAGTGACATGTGTTGACGTTGCTCGTGGACTGAGGGCGCAGGGAATATGTTGTCGACTAGGAGTACCCGGCCTTCGAATGCTTCGATAATATGCCCGATGATGACGACGACAGTCTGGCCTGCAACGGGCTGAAAAGTGGCATCGGGAGTTCCGGGACGGTATAAACAATCAACAACGGCAGTGCCGTCTGTCACTGAAAAGTACTCATGAAGTAGGGGCTAAAAAGAAAAAGAGACGAGAGATGGCGAACCTGAGTAGCGGATGAGGCTGCTGCGGGGGATGGCGGCGTTGACGCAACCAACGATCCTAACTGTTCGACAAGGTACCCTGCCTACCCAATGGAAGAGAGGAGGCTGAGCTACGGCCGGAGTGAACTCGGATGCGAAGGCGGTAGCCGACAGACGCACGATTCTTACGAGCCCGGAAAATGTCACACCACAAACAATGGGGCCACGGACTCTGGCAGTCGTGTCCATTCAAAAAGCGATGGTGGAGGAAAGAAAGGCATAGAAGATCACATGCTACCTATGCTAACATTCATTTAAATAGGCCGGGGGCAGAGTAATGAGGCGAAGACATGCCGACAGAAGCAGCGGCAGCAGGATCGGCAGCGGCGGCAGCGGCATCGGCGGCATCGGCGGCGGCAGCGGAAGCGGCAATAGCTGAAGGCAAAAGGACAAGTAAAAAATCGTCACTCTCTGGGTCCTGGGGTTGGTGTGCGAGAGTATCTAGCTGGACTAGCTTGCGAACGGCCCAGACGAACAAGCGGCGAACCCTGGCCTCCTGGGCTAGAGGAGGGCCAAACGAAGAAGTGCGGCGCGCCCACTCAGCTGCAGCAACGCGGTCGGCCATCGCACTGAGTCTACCAACAGCGGACGCGTCCAAGAGTAGGGGTAAGATCGGAGGCGGCAATGTAGGAGCAAAGGAGAGCGAGGAAATTGTCGGGGTCGGCAAACTAAAAGGCGAAGATAGGTGGTAATAGTACTTTGTTAAGTGAATTGCATGGATCAAATGGGTGGGCTCTTCATTAGGAGAAGAGCAACGGGCTAGGAGGTGTGAGAAGGGCAAGAATGACCGGTAAAGGAAAGGCAGACTGAGGGAGTGAACTCGAAGAGTAACACCACGAGGGCCTGTGAGAATCCGACCGACAACTACGGCTTGGTTGCCTACGGACACAAGAGCGGGGAAGGGAACGGGGTCAGAGTCGGGCGATGAACCGACTCGACAACGCCAGTGCCGTCATCGACTGAGGGGAAGGATAAGGCGTAGTGGGGGAGTAAAAAGTAGAACGGGCCATAATAAATCACTCCATATTCACGTTCCTCTACGCCGACTATCAAACCGGCGATGCGAGCGCGGTACGGCAAGGTACACGCCCAATCCAATGGTAGAACGGAGGGTCCTCTAGAGGCCTGGCGTAAGTCGGAGAAGACGCCCAAAGCGCGTGGACGCACCATTGCGGCGCGCACGGAGAAGATCATAAGCGAGCACGGGTGCCACCGACTCAATGCGCTTGGTCCAAGATGTCCAGAGGGATGAAGTAGAGGACATGGCAAAGACATCTGAGGTGTGACTGAGTGACCTGCCATTGTGGGTGTGGGGCGGGCTGCCGCCGCCAATGAGGCCCCGAGGCGAGGGCGGCTGCCGCCTACACGTGACTTTGACAGGTCACGTGGTACCGAACATGTTCGGTACCACGTGAGTTTGACAGATCACGGGGTACCGAACATGTTCGGTCGCACGTGCCTTTGACAGGTCACGGGGTACCGAACATGTTCGGTACCCTGTGACTTTGACAGCTTGGTAATCCACTGCCCCCCCTTGGATTAAGCCCCCCTCCCGGGAGCGGAATAATCCTAGATCACGGGGTACCGAACATGTTCGGTCGCACGTGCCTTTGACAGGTCACGGGGTACCGAACATGTTCGGTACCCTGTGACTTTGACAGCTTGGTAATCCACTGCCCCCCTTGGATTAAGCCCCCCTCCCGGGAGCGGAATAATCCTAGCCAGTCGGTATGTAGGCATTGTGTTCTCGCAGTGGGGCTGGTCACAGAGCGAGGTGGGGGTACTGCGCCAGCGTCTCTCGGACTTGGCTCTGTAGGTTTTCCAACTGATCAGAACATTCACTAATAATGATGGCCCAGGAATGAAGAGAGTGAAAGATATGCACGGGATGCAGCAGCAGGGGTGCTCACAAACATGTTGCTGAGTACACAAGTAATGCGTGCAGAGGAGAGGGAGAAGACACCAGTACGGGCGTGAAAGTTTCGTCATTTTGCCATGGAGATAGAAATGAAGTCGTGGCTTTGACGGTATAAGACTCCGCTGCTGATCTTGCCCTTCTCAGTACCAGGTCATGCAGCGTAATAGTATGCTGTTTTATACAAGTAAAAGTAGTGTGTTGTGTCGTGTTGGGAAGACAAAGGGGGTTTATGGCGGACTAACAACATCGCACGACGAGAGTAGGCAACATGCTGACAAGTCGCTGCCACAAGTCAGCAATGTATCAAGTGAGTATAATGACGCACCCGTCATGTCTCCGTTCTCTCTATGTCCGTGCCCCACTGGTAGACAGTTGGCATTTAGTGTCTAGCGATATCCACGCCTAGCAGCCACCAGTCGACACTGGGCACCCCATCTGCCTGCAGAGATGGCGGGAGTAGACAACCCAAGAGTGCTTACTTCGAGATAGACACTGCATGCAGCGTGGGAAGGAGAGTGATAGTGTCCGCCACTCAAGTCATCTGTCGGGTAAATCATCGCAATGACGGACGTGTTTCAAGACTGTTGGTCGCAGGTTGGTAGGCCATCTGTGGCGGTGCCGTCCCAAAATGCACCGTATATCTCTCAGCGCTGCCTCCACCGCGAGACCTTGGGAAGCTCACCGACCAACATTCGAATCGGACTCAACCGATGATCTTGCTGATTTCCTCGAGAACGTGGCAACGATTTTCGAACTTCGGCAGCCTTGTCGGACAACAAGAGCGGAAGGTCTTGATGACCAGCTATCTGCCAATGAGGAAGCGTGAATTCTGGCGCGAACTGAAGACATACGCACCGGTCCATTCGTACAATGAGTTCGAGAAGGAGGTTCGAGAACTATACCCCGAATTAACGCGGAGGCGTAATGGACAACTTCGAGGACTTGACCGAGTTGTGTGCAGAATATGTGGATGTGTCGCTTATGGAAGAAGGGCGGCTACGGCGATTCGGACGGCAGTTCCTGGTTTTGGCAAAGAAACTACAAACGGCACCGTCAGTTTTGACGAATCGCGAAGCCTGCCAACGTTACCTGAAAACACTCGCCACTACATCCGCAGATCAAGTTCGGCGGGGATTACTGGACCGACAAGTCGGTCGATTTGTTCAAGAGGAGCTCGGTGTTCGTGTCGCTACACCAAACCGGCATCGAGAAGATCCATATTCGCTAGAAGAAGTGATTCAAGTTACCGAACGACTAGCAGCAATGGGAACTATGGACTTACCAAACATCACAAACACCAGTGCAGAAATCTCCCCGGTAGAGCATCATGATTCGGAGAGGATCCATGAAGATCGCGGGAAGCTCCGTGTAAGGCCCCGGATCGCATGCTCCACGATCCGGTGATAAATATCCCATGATATCCATTTCCATGTGTTGATCATCGCAGATGCGCACGGATTCTCCACTATGACATCATATATGTAAAACACTTAAATACTGCATCCATTTTCTGTATTAGTTAGCTTTTTTCCGAGGTCGAATCTAGTACTTACGCCAGTTCTATCGCGTCCCCGACCTCGCCGGCCTTCCGCCCTCGGTCTCCCGTGTGCCGGGACCCGCTTTAGTAAGCGCTAGGGTTAGAGTATTTGAATTTTGTTTCCCTATGAATTTCCGCATCAAAATGCGCGACAAGTTGAATCGCATGGTGCAGAAAGACGCGCCTGTGGTCGAGTACACAGCTGAGTTTGAAACAACCTGGAATATCATCGGGTTAGCTGATGATCAGGAGAAGGTCGTCAAGTACTGGCGCACCTTGAACGCGGACATCCAGCGCGCGAGATGTACCGCCAGAAGCTCGACCCCGAGACCGCTCCCTGGGACGATGTTGTCCAAGCGGCTGAGGACGCCGAGATTCTGCTCAATATTGAGCCAGAATCGCCCGCGTCCGATGCCCTGGACCACGAGAAGGCGAAGCCTGACGAGAAATCGTCAGACGCCACCCAGAGGGACGGTGAGAACGCTCACCGCAACCGTAGGCGAGGCCACGGAGGGCGGGTTGAGTCCGACAAGCCGCGGGCTGACTCACAGAGTGAGCAGCTTCGCGCTGCGTCAGTCGAGCTCCCGACGAAGCCAGACGCGCTGAAAGAGCGCCGCATGTCTGCCAAACGTCGCAACGAGCTCCTCGCGACGGGAGCTTGCTTTACCTGTGGAGAAATC